ATTTAAATTTAAAGCTGTAAGTCTATATAAATAGCATCACATTACATTTAAAAGTAATTTAATAATAAATATTTCTATTTCTGCTACTCATCAATTGATACTATTTGCTTACTAAGTTTTTAGCCTTGTATTGCACATTTAAAGTAGGTAAATTGCACATAGAAATATTTTTAATAGCTGAGATTCTTGCAAAAATGTTATGGACTAAAATAATTTCTTTGCTAATAGTGTCTGAAGTCAAACATATGGTGGTGATTAGTTATGGGGTACCTGGGAGCCAGGGGCCTTTTGTAAGTAAAATAAAGTGCCATTTCTTGACTGGAGTTTGACACTTTCTTATTTTCCAGGAGGATAAGTAGGGAAGATACTCTCATTATGAATTCACCCTAACACTGGTTAAAACTCTTCAGAGAATTTTGATAATTGAGCAGTTCAATCTAATAACCTAAAGATTATTATGTGTCATTAATTATTTTCCTTAGATACATTATAGGCTCTCTTTCTAAGAAAATCAAAATACAAATTTTGTCTTCTCTCCCTACCCTACTTTTTAAAGAAAAATTCCTTCCTAAATAATTTTGACATATAGTGATATAAGCAGACCTGGTAGGTAGGTTAGGCTGAACATTTTTTCTCTGTGTGTTAGTTGGATATGCTTTTCTCAGCTTGCTGTTTAAGAAGCAGCAGCAGCAGTGAATAAACAAGTTATCACCACAGTCCTTGTTCTTATCCCTTACAGCTGGGAGCAGGGGCTGGGAGATCGCTGCTGCTTGTCAGCTGTTGTACAGAACATCAATATGCAATAATGGTGGCCAAAGGAGACTGCACCCATGAGTTTTTACATACCAGATGGAAAGGGCCCAAGTATCAGTGTAGTATATATATAGTATAGAAAATATGTTCTTTGACAGAAAGATATTTTCTTCCCAGTGCAACATAAAAGAGAACAGTAGATGCTTGTAGCTCTTAGACTCTATTATTTTTTACTATTTACTCTGGTTTTAGTTTAAATTTTATTCAGTTAATTCCATCTATTAGAATGGAAGACTGTCTTGCTTCCGGAAGTATGTGTGGTGTGTTTTATGTTTTTTACTTTTAAGCTGGTAGACTGGAAGAAATTCTTAATAATTAGTTGCTGATAGCACAAGTTAGGTAATATACTGAGGAAAGAAAAGAAAAGTTGGCTATGGCCACACAGGAGTGTTTCTTTCACTTTTGGGCCATATTCTGAGTCCATATTGTCTTTGTTTTAGATCCCTGTCTAAACAAGGCCGAATTCTTACTGATTTCACTATAACAAAAAAAAAGAAAACAATCTTCTGTATTGCTTAGTGTTGTAAATAACTAAAAACAAAGCAGAGCACAGATTAAAATTTAGATCTATTTTATTCTCACTCCTATTTATTCTATGATTTACTATATAAGAAAGTTCAAATTCTAAATTTTTTTGGAAATAGGGCTTTGTAATTTCAAATAATATAGAAGAATGTTCTTTATTTTTATTATTTGAATTTGCACAGATTTGTATAACCCAAATATTGATATAATTTTCTTCTCTTTTATATCTAAATAATTGCAATAGGTTATAGTTACAGGGAAGTGAATTTTGGATTTGTATTAAAATTCTGATTTCATTTGTAGAATTCTTCGTGGGAAACTACAATGACATTTTGTTTTATTGTATAAGCCTAATGTCCCATTAAAGTCTAATATTTGCAATAGCATAGCATTCAAATACTATTTTAAAAGGTAACCATAGTTTCTTCCTTGTCATCTTCATTAAAATCACTCCTGATCATTCCCACTCTTAATGTTTTCCTTTACCAATCACAATAAACTCAGAATATTAGTTCCCTAGTAATATTACTTAAAAAACAAAACACCTTTGTCATAATATGTGCTTAGTTATCTGAAATAATAAATGAGCCCATAACCTGTTCTGGCATTGTGAAGTCAAGCATATTCAACCATACAGTGAGATAACTTTTTTATTGTTGTTGGCTAATGCTAGAGTGTTTTTTAATATGTCGATGTAACTTAACAAATTACATTAATTACTGTTATAAAAAGTGAGTTACATAATCCTTTCTGTTAAAAACACCTTGTTTTTACTATTAATTACTGCTTAGTGTCTGTTGACCACCTGTATTAGAATAACCTAGAATAAAACATTTTTTCAGACATCCTAAATCAGAATCTTTGGAGCTAAGACTCAGGAATAGGTGTTTTTTACAAGCTCAAAAAGATTGTATATAGGAGCACTACATCTGAGAGGCACTGCCCAAAATGAAATGGAAGGGAGTGTTCATACCAATAAACCATTTACCTTTCCTGCATTTTTTCCTCCTCTTTAGGCATCTTGGATCTAAGCTTAATATTTAATTAGGAATCTTATTATTTCTGTGACAACAGTTCTAGATTAAGTCTTGGTATTTCCCCAATCATATGAGGAACTATAATTTTGTACAAGCACCTTGGGGCAAATTTTAGTCTATTCTATTTGTTTAGACATTTAGCATACCTATGTTAGATCTACACTTGAGGAAAACAGAAGGGATTAATAACCTACGAATTTTTTAAATTTTCATCTAGACAGTGGCTGTTTTTCTTAAATATACTTCCAAATGTTGGAGAAAATATAAAAAGGGGAAATTTTCATATGCCGCTTATGGGAGCATTTAGCAATATCCTAGTAAAATTGAAGATACAACAGGCTTGAACCCAACAATTTCGTTTCTAGATGCTCTAGATAAACTCAGACGTGTAAAAAAATCTTGTTTATTTTTAATAGGAAAAAATTGAAAGCAATATAAATGTTAAGCAACAGGATAATGACAAATTGTGACATATTCATAGGATGAACTGTAGCTATTATAATGAGAGCTGAGTGTATCATCATGGGTAAATATTCTACTTCAGCAAACAAAAACAAGTTGCAGACAGGTCATAATCAATATAACATTTATATAAAAGATACGTATAATACAAAACCATTTATATAAAGTTTGAAAGAATCACATTGTTTTAAAGTCTTAAATTTGTAGTAAAAATGAATAGGAAATAAATGTCAAATTCAAGATTGTGATTGCATTTTAGGAGAGTGGGATAGTGTCAGGGTATGGCACACAAGGGACTTTAACTATATGTGTAATTGTTTTTCTTTAAAATAAATAAATAAAGGAAAACAAGCATGGCAGAATATTAGAATTCAGAAGAGCTGGATTGAGGGTCCAGGTATAGGATGTGGAGATTGATTTTGGCGGTCTCTTGATTTTTCTATGGATTTTGAAACAAACGATTTTGAAATTTAAAAAATGTACTGTTCTTTTTTATGATAAAGATATTCTACAACAAAATGTACACTTGGAGTCCTCCATTAAGAGCATAGATGGGTTTGCTGTACTCTTTCTATTCTGTATCTTGTAGTAAGTCCTTAACCATTAGTTGGTGCAGCTTACAGTCATGGCCCATGGAAATCAAATATTCTAACAAACTCAAGTTTACTCTAGGATATCTCTAAAAATTATTTTATTTTTAAAGATGAGCTGTAAATATATTTCCTGCTTTTGTATACTGGCTTTTAATCCTTTCTACTCTTATAAATATAGGACAATGTGGAAACAATTTCTCTTTTCTTATCACTATTCTTTCACTTACTTTTTGATTCAGGCAACAGTATTTTATTTTGGCCATAGCATCGTGTTGTACTATTTGCAGAGATTCTTTTATGCATTTTAAGCTCCAACTTAAGCTTTGTATTTATATTCTGTTGATACAGTTTTACTATAGAATTCTTGGGATTGGGGAATATATGGATTTTAGATTTTGTGAGTGTGTGTGTGTGTGTGTGTGTGTGTGTGTGTGTGAGTGAGTGAGAGAGAGAGAGAGACTGATTGATCAATCTTGATATGTTATCTTAAAATATCTGCAGTTACATGAAGTCCTCCAGAAACTTAGTATGCTCCAATTTAGACATTGAAGTATGAGTTTTTGTTACACTTAACATATTTCTCTTAAACATCAAGAAGGTAATAGTAATAGAAAAGCAAATTTTAAAAACTAATGATGCACTGGACTGAAATTTATAAATGCTGCTGCTGAGTGTTTATAATCTGTGATTGTTCTGTGTTGTGTAAGGATCAGAAAACAATTATTGTCAACTACAGTTGAAAATGTTTTAACTTATATAATGTGATAAAATTTTATCTTTTTCCTAGGTTTCATAATGATAAAATGAAGACGATAATAAAACAGCCCCCTACTTAGCCCAGCAGTTCTTACCTTGTAAGTATTAACTCTCAGTCTCCCTACCATTGCTATAAAAAGTTACTATTTGGTGTCACTGTTTTGGTTTACTTCTGAATTATTTTTTCTACCCATCCTAGTATGGTAACTTTCTAACTTCCCCTTACCCCACTACATATTGAGGTTTGATATTTATTTAATGTAGTTTAGTACAAGAATAATGCCATTGCTTGGGTACATTTTCTATTTTGGGAAATATTTTATAGCCAGCACCTATCATCTCTAAGTCTGAGAATCACAATTTTGAGTCCCTTTCCTTCAAAGGAGTTTACGAATAGGTAATGGTCTTTTTTATTACCATCATTATTCAGGTTTATTGATCTTACGGTTTTATAAATTGAGAGTATCCTCTTCTCTTGAAAAATAGTTTGTTTTTACATTTTATTAGATTACACTTGAGACTTTGTGAGGAGCTTAACATTTAGCTGTTAAAACTTCAGGAGGTGGAGAAAACAGGAAGGCAATCCCTTTTCCTTCCTTTTATATATACACATGCACACCTCTTTTTTAGAATAAGAAACATTTTTCCCCTGATTCATTTAACTTTTGAGAAATTTGTAAATTCTAAAGGAGTAATTCTAACAGGTTAGCTAAAATGAGTATCATACCCCTAGAAAAACTCACAAATCCAGGTCATGTGAAATGCCCAAGATACTTACTTCCGTAAAAGTTTTTGAGACCCTAAAATCAGTTACCAGAAAGCTTTGTTTTCATCTATTCCTTCAGCTAATTCTGTGTCTCTGAAGTAAAGAAACTGAAGTGCAAGACTGTTTCTGTTCTTAATGATATTGAGGCATTGCTCTGTTGAAATGAAACTAGTGCTTCAAATACTTTCCTCACATTAGCTCACAATGACTCAAGTAATGTATATGTGTTGAGGGATGACCTTATGATCATTGATGATCAGCCATTGAACTCAGTAAGTAGTGAGAATTTTTAGGGAGGGGGGAATCAATTAAATATTAAAAACTGTTAATAAGCCTGTTTGCAAAATAGTAGCCAAATGCCACAGGTCACTTTCTTTTTCTAATTTTTTCCTGTTATCTTTTTGTTTCTGGAAAATTAGAATGGAAACATTTTTAAGTCCCTAAAGAATCCTATATAGTCCAGGTTTGGGTTCCTTAATTGGTCCCTTGGAAGCCAGTTCAGCCTTTCTTCAACTTAACACTTAGAAAAAGAAATCTTTTCGATTGATATACTCCTACTATAGACTGGAGAGTAGTCGACTTTTTAAAAGAAAAAATAGATATCATTTAATTTCTAACAGATTTATAAGCATAGATAACATCACATTCTTAAATTCATTTCATCTCCTTTATAAATTTCTAAGTAAACAGTCTTTCTTGGATACTCTCCAGCATCTTTTAAATATAGGCCATTTGCCATATTTCATAGTTGGAATGCTTTCTGTTGTCTGTTTAGGTAGTATGCCTGGAGTTACCTTTAATCTTAGGTAGTAAAATGATAATGTTTCCAATTAAACAATGCCCAGAAAAATAGGAACATAGTGACAATAGTTAGTGATCCTTTGTGATTATGTACATGTCTTCCATTCTTTCATTTTTTTTATGTTTGTTTAATGCCATTGTTTCTTTAAGATGAGGATTTATTTTTAAGCTATTCATTTGTGGAATGTGGATGTTCCAGAAGTTGTGGAATAGTGATCTGCCTATATTCAAAGCTGTCAAAATTAAGTAATTGCAGTGTTTGGGGTTCATTTTTACAAATTGAGTAAAGAGATGGAGTATTTTTCAAGTTTCTTTTTTTTTTTCAGTTTAAAAATCTTAAACTCTGTTGCCTGACAGAAAATTCAGAAATAATCGTATGTCTTTTCTTTTTTTCCTCGTTTTCTTTTTTGAACTGTTTTGATTTTTCACTTATGTTGTTTTTTGGATACAAATGCTTAAATTATGTATTTCTGTTATGTGAATTTAAAATATTTGGTGCTTAAAAACATCATGAGGTGCATTGTAAGCAGTTAGAGCATTACATCTATCTTTTTAATAATCTACAACAACAAAAATCTTAAAACATTGACTTGATAAATAGGGAAACAGAAGATGAAGCAGAAAATTTCAGTGCTGTCATTGTTAGTCCTGTGAACAAAAGTGATGAAGACAAATGACTTCCTAATTCAGGATATTAAATTTACCTGCTTCAAGAGCTAGGCTAGAAAAAAGAAATGACAAGAGCTATTGCTCACATAGGATGAGTTATCAAGATAAGTTTTTAGAAATGTTACAAAGTTAGCAATAAAATAACAAAAGCATGTATCATACCAGCCTAGAAAATATTGTCAGTTGTTGAATTATAAATAATGTAAATGAAATACTGACTGAAAGTACTGCAAAAATAATCAGAATGTTTTAATCAATGGAGCAGTAAGTAATCAATGGTATGGCAAATAACATAAAATCTATTGTGCTTTCAATAAAATTGTAATGATGTAATTATATCATGCCCTAAACATATCTGATAATTGTCCTATTTTTAATTTATTTGTGATGGAAATTTACTCTTGTGCAAATTGCTACTTACCTGTGCCACTTAGGAGGAAATTCTAATTATCGTGAATAAATTTTTAAATGGGCATGTTTCTGGGAGACAAGAGTGTGCCAAAATAGAAAAAATGAATTGCTTTTTTGGCAGTTGGATTAGTGGTGAAGGATGTTATGATCCAAAGCAGAAAAATTCATAAGGGTATCAGCTACCATAAGCATTTGGTGGTAAAGAGAATGTCTTATAAACCTACTGACATGATGACTTCCTATTAACTTATTAAATATATCAAATCTACGCTCTTAAAGTTGTGTATTCTATCATTTATGAACATAAGGAGAGTTCACAATATGCTACAGCTGTTTTTTTAGTCATTGTTCAAATAACTGCTACTTTTGAGAATTAGAGAACATTTAATCAAAATGCCAGGTGTTCCTTGTCCTCAGTCTTATATATTTGTCATATATATCTTTTAACAGAATGATAGAATTAACTCTGAACCATTCATGTTTAAGCCATGGCTGTTTCTGCTCTCAACAAAATTGCAGCCATAAAATTTGAATTTCAGTGCCAAAATTATAGAAAGGGGTTGGACTCATTTTTCCACACTGAACAACTTCTCAGCTTCAAGATGGATAATTAAGAGAAGAATAGAGAATTTCTTATTTATGAAGTTACTTGGTTGTTTTCTTAAGAAAAACAAAAGGCAAAATTTAATAGCATGGGGCCTGATTTAAATAGAAAATAAACGTGTAAATATAATGAACTCTGGTGTAAGAGGGATTTCAAGTTCCAAGTGCAAATGCTATAGGTAGCATCCCCAGACTATTCTGTGTAATCGTGCTCTTATCTACTGTTAGTCTGAAACTTAAGTTTTTAAACTTAATATCCATGTAAAGACAGGAATAAATTGAATACAGAATTGAAATGTATGTTTAGTTGTCAGTGATCCCAGCTGACTTTTTGCCTAGACTAGTTTCATTCTTCCTGTTATATCCAGTAAATAAATTTATGCTTATTTTTATATAATTAAAACAAATTCCTTTAAAATATCTCATTTTCTTATAGTAAAAAATATTTAAAGTTTATGAGAATGAAGTTTTGATATATTTAATAGTAAGCACTACAAAGAATGCCATCACTTTCGAGTACTCTACCACTGATCAAATTTCAGAACCTTAAAATATTTAGGAAAATAATATCAAAGACTATCTGAATTTTAATTCATTAAAATTGTTTTAGTTTTTATACCCATAGTTTAGCTATTCAAATTGTTTCATTATGCCCCTACTATTTGGTACTCTGTAGTCAGAACTTAAAATTGGCAGTTTGTCCTCCAAATCCTTAATGAGACGACTTAATAAAGTACACGGAATTTTTCTAAGTCAATTTTATTTTAAATTGATCTTTATTCATTTTATTTTTAGCTTTAGAATATTAGAATTAAAACCATAGTAAATAAACTTTTTCTTTAATGTTATAAAGTACATTTATGTCAGTAATAATCGATACCAAATAAAATTCTCATAAGAGAGCAAGTTTCAGCTTAGTACAATTAAGTCCTCACTCCCATTGTCAGTAGGTTCTTGGAACTGACTTTAAGCAAAATGACCTATAATGAAACCAGTTTTACCATAGGCTAATTGATACAAACAAGAGTTAATTTCCGGCCGGGCGCGGTGGCTCACGCCTGTAATCCTAGCACTCTGGGAGGCCGAGGAGGGCAGATTGTTTGAGCTCAGGAGTTGGAGACCAGCCTGAGCAAGAGCGAGACCCCATCTCTACTAAAAATAGAAAGCAATTAATGGGACAACTAAAAATATATAGAATAAATTAGCTGGGCATGGTGGCGCATACCTGTAGTCCCAGCTACTCGGGAGGCTGAGGCAGAAGGAGCGCTTGAGCCCAGGAGTTTGAGGTTGCTGTGAGCTAGGCTGACGCCACGGCACTCTAGCCCGGGTAACACAGTGAGACTCTGTCTCAAAAAAAAAAAAAAGAGTTAAGTTCCTACAGCATACTTCTGATCACAAAAAACATCACCAAACTTCTAAAGAAAGGGGGAAAAACCATTGGCTCATATACAATTTGTCTTTTTACTGTAACTTTTATGATTTTTTAAATTCTGTGATCTAATATAGAAAGAAAACTAACTTCAGATGTTTAAAGGTTCCCATCTACTCAGATTTATATTCAAGTTGATTTCTTACATAAGATATTTAATTTACTTATTTTTGTCTCACCTTTGAAAATGACTGCTTTTTCCTCTTGGCAGGTTATAAGAGTAAAAAATTGTGGAGATAATTAAAGACTCATAGCCTAGAATATAGATGACCAGAGTTGGAATTATGACTTGTATAAAAATGAGAGACAAGGCCGGGCGTGGTGGCTCACGCCTGTAATCCTAGCTCTGTGGGAGGCCGAGGCGGGCGGATTGTTTGAGCTCAGGAGTTCAAAAGCAGCCTGAGCAAGAGCGAGACCCC